GATCCAATCCGCGTGGCTCGTCCGCATACCGGCCCGGTGAGCGAGGCTGTCCGGGTCGACGTTTGCGACGCGCCGGGAATCCAAACGACACTGCAAGCCAGCGGCCCCTCTGTGGTCCCTTGTGATTGTGGACTCAGTAGTCCTCCTCCTCCTCCTCCTCCTCCTCCTCCTCCTCCTCCTCCTCCTCCTCCTCGTCCTCCTCCTCTTCCTCCCTTATTTGTGGGAGCCCGTCGCCCTTTGCGCGCCTATGCCACTGGACTCCATCATGCTGTTCATGGTGATCATGGGTTTCAGGGTGGTGCTCAGAGTGTTGCTGCTGGAGCCTATCGCGGCAGTCACCGTGTTGCTCACTGTCGTGCTGCTCGCCGTAGTAGTGGTGTTCGTGGTCGTGGTGCTCGTGGTCGTGTTCGTGGCCGTGATCGTGGTGCCAGTGGTCGTGGTCTTCGTGGTATTCGTGGTCGTGCTCACTGTAGTCGTGGTGCTCGTGGTCGTGGTCGCGGTGCTCTTGGTCGGGGTGCTCACGGTCGTGGTGGTCGTGGTGGTCGTGGTGCTCATGGTCTTGCTGGTGCTCGTGGTCGTGGTGCTCGTGGACATGGTGGTCGTGATCGTGGTGCTCGTGGTCGGGGTGCTCACGGTCGTGGTGGTCGTCGTGGTCGTGGTCGTGGTCGTGGTCGTGGTGGTTGTGGTCGTGGTCGTGGTGGTCGTGGTGCTCGTGGTCGTGGTCGTGGTGGTCGTGGTGGTGGTGCTCGTGGTCGTGGTCGTGGTGCTCGTGGTGGTCGTGGTCGTGGTCGTGGTGCTCGTGGTCGTGGTCGTGGTGGTCGTGGTGGTCGTCGTGCTGGTGCTCGTGGTCGTGGTGCTCATGGTCATGCTGCTCGCCGTCGTGCTGCTCGTGGTCGTAGTCCTCACCGTCGTGCTGAAGGGGCACGCCCCGATAGTCGGCAAGGCTTAGGTCAGGGCAGCCTGCCGGTGTTGCTCGTCGCCGCGTTGCTCGTCGCGGGGTTGCTCTTGGTCGTGTCGCCCGCCGGGGGGATCTTGAAGTTGATCTCGGCGGTCCCCGTGGAGTGGCTGAGCACGGTCCCGTTGGTGCCGATCGCCATTGTGCTGCTCGTGGTCGTGCTGCTCATCGTCATGCCGCTGAAGCAGATTCCGGCGATTATCATGGCAAGGCTCGAGACGGTCCCATCGGTGGTGCTCATTGCCGTGCCGTTCATTGCCGTACCGCTCGGCTTCGAGGGATGCACCGTGCGCTGCTCGCCAGTCGGCCAGGCACCCAAAATGCAGGGGAGAGAGCGGGTCCCCAAAGGCGACCATCCCGCGGATGATGTCACCACAGTGGGCACAGAGGACATCTCCGTCCGCCCGAAGGCGGGCCTGTGTGTGAGACGAGGGAAACGAAGGGTGATCAGGGATTGGGTTAGGGTCAGGGCGCGGTGGTGCAGCTTGCGTCGGCCCCGTCTCGCCTCCCACGTCCCGTTGCGCGGCAGGGCGATCTCGTAGGTGCGGGTCGTCTCCGGCGTGCCGCCGTGGATGTGCAGTGAGGGGTTCGGCGGCATTGAGAACAGGAGGCTCGAGGAGGAGGGAGGCCCGCACCTCCTGCAGCGGACGCCGACGAGCTTGCCCGTCTATGGGCGCCGTGGGCGCACCTCCTTCAGAGCTGACTGGCGCTGTATTCTCGTCAACAACGTCGACCTGCGCGACCTGCAATGGCCGCCAGTGCCGGCTCCCTCGGCGGCGTCCCGTGGTGGTCTCAGGCAGGGTACCTGAGGACAGCGAGTTGTCGTCGCGAGGCGCAGGCTGGGGAGCTGTGGCCTGGCGTCGCGACGCACTGCCAAAGTGGGCACGTACGACGCATCCAATGCCCCCTCGACGCTCTGGCGGCCTCCGCCCGCCGCAGGAACTCGAACGGCGTCCTCCGCGCGGCACGTCTGCTCCTGCGTACCGAAGAGTCTCGCGGGGCCGTCGTCGCGAGGGGGGACATCGATGGCGGCGCCGGTGCGGGCGCGGATCAATTGGAGCAGCTCCGCGGCATTCTGAAGCAGGCGGCCGCGCGCGCCGCTGGGCCACGGAACCTGCGCCCAGCGGGGCGGCCCTCTGCCGTCTGGCGCGCCCCAGACGACCGCATCTTAGATATCCCCCCCGGGTGGGCTGGAACCGCATGTTTTTACGTGTGCAGGCCACCCGGGGGGTATCTAACATGGTGGTCCCGCGCTGGAACCACGTGTTTTTACGTGTCCACGCCACACAGGGGGGGTATCTAACATGGTGGTCCCGCGCTGGCACCATGTGCTTTCACGTGTCCAGGCCACAAGGGGGGTATCTAACATGATGGTCCCGAGTTGGAACCATGTGTTTTCACGTGTCCAGGCCACCCAGGGGGGGTATCTAACATGGTGGTCCCGCGCTGGAACCACGTGTTTTTACGTGTCCAGGCCACCCCAGAGGTATCTAACATGGCGGTCCCGCGCTGGAACCACTTGTTTTCACGTGTCCAGGCCAGACAGGGGGGTATCTAACATGGCGTTCCCGAGCTGGAACCACATGTTTTGCATTGTTTAAGGAGGTGCCGAGCGAGGGCCTTGTCGTGGGTGGGAGGTTTTCTCGGGATCACAAGGTGAGGATGTCTCGAGCGAAACTCGGAACTGAATATGATCTTGAGCTCGAGTTGGTCGGGCACCCCGCGCGTTTCGACCGCAACGAGCCTGAGCTATGCGTTCGGGCAAATGAGCTTACTCCCCAAATCCGTTCGGTCAGGATTCCGACGCCAAGGACGGCTTGATCCACAATGCAATAGCGCGCGGTACAGTTGAACGCGACATGACACATTTGACTTCAGCACGGCACGGCGCAGCACAGCACAGCCGGTGGCACGGTACATCACGATCGTTACCTTAAGTATTGCAATTGCCCGTCGCCCAAGCTGAGTGTCTTGGAAAATATGTCCATGCTTGACATTTCTACATCCCTTTTCCGTTGCGTAGGGCCGGCGAAATTATTCGGCGATAAATAACGAGGTAAAGTGTGATTTCAGTGTAGAAAAACTGCGTTTCGTGCGTGCCCGCTCTGTGAAAGTGCGCCTCCCATTTCGGATCCTGGATAAATCACGGGGTCCGCAACCCCCCGCTTTCTCTCGGACAAAAGAAGGTGCGGAGCGCTTCTCGCAGAATCCTCGACAAATAACGGGGTCTGGAGCCCCGACCGCGACGCGGAAGAGCGTCCCGCGCGCAGGAATTCCGAGGATGTCTCGCGCGTGCCGCGTCCCGCGCGCGTGAATTCCGAGGATGTCTCGACTAATTATTCGTTTGGTTTTGCAGGGTTTTCTTTAGGAGGGCCCAGGAGAGGCCCCCAGGAGCGTAGTTTCGTTACTTACGAAAGATCGTGGCCCTGGGAGCGCGGACGCCGCGTAATTTACCAGGGATCTTCGCCCTGGGAGCGCGAATCCAGCGTAATTCACGAGGGGTCTTGGCACTGGGAGCGCGAAGCCCGCGTAATTTACGAGGGATCGTGGCCCTGGGACCGTGCATCCGTTGTAATTTACGAGGGGTCTTGGCCCTGGGAGCGCGAATCCAGCGTAATTTACGCAGGGTTTTGCCACTGGGAGCGCGAACCCCGCGTAATTTACGAGGGATCGTTGCCCTGGGAGCGTGCATCCAGCGTAAATTACGAGGGATGGTGGTCCTGGGAGCGTGAAGCCCGCGTAATTTGCGAGGGATCGCGGCCCTGTGAGCGCGAACCCAGCGTACTTTAGGAGGGACTGTGGCCTTGAGAGCGCGAATCTAGTGTAAATTACGAGGGATCGCGGCCTTGGGCGCACGGACGCAATGTAATTTATGAGGATTCGCGGCTTCAGGTCCAACGCTTGATTTTCAGGAAATGGCGGGCGGGCCGAAAAGCGCCCCCCGAGTAGATATCCCAATGCAGAAAAGTGTGGGTTTCTGCTCTGGAGAGGGGGGGACCCTTTTGGGCAACCTCCGCGCGGTTCTTCGCGACCCCGGGGGCGCGGACACAGTGTAATTTACGAGGGATCGTTGCCCTGGGAGTGCGAATGCAGCGTAATTTACGGGGGATCTTGGCATTGGGAGCGCGGGCGCAGTGCAATTTACAAGGGATCGTGGCCCTGGGAGCGTGAATCCCGCGTGGTTTACGAGGGGTCTTCGCCTTGGGAGCGCGAATCCAGTGCAATTCACAAGGGATCGTGGCCCTGGGAGCGCGAAGCCGGCGTAATTTACAAGGGGCCGTGTCCCTGGGAGCGTGCATCTGTCCTAACTTACGAGGGGTCTTGGCCCTGGGGCGCGAAACCCGTGCAATTTCCGAGGGATCTTGGCCCTGGGAGCGTGCATCCAGTGTAAATTACGAAGGATGGTGGTCTTGGGAGCGTGAATCCCGAGTGATTTGCAAGGGATCGCGGCCCTGTGAGCGCGAACCCAGCGTGGCGTAATTTACGAGTGACTGTGGCATTGAGATCGTGAATCCAACGTAAATTACGAGGGGTCGCGGCCTTGGGCGCGCGGACGCAATGCAATTTACGAGGTTTCGCGGCTTCGGGTCCAGCGCTTGATTTTGAGGAAATGGCGGGGGGGCCGAAAAGCGCCCCCCGAGTACATATCCCAATACAGAAAAGTATGGGTTTTTGCTCTGGAGTGGGGGGTGCCCTTTTGGGCAACCTCCGCGCGGTGCTTCGCGACCCTGGGGGCGCGGACACAGTGTAATTTACGAGGGTTCGTGGCCCTGGGAGCGCGGCCGCAACGTAACTTACGAGGGATCTTGCCATTGGGATCGCGGACGCAGCGTAATTTACGAGGGGTTGTGGCCCTGGGAGCGTGAATCTCGTGTGATTTACGAGGGATCTTCGGGTAAGACCTGTCCATATGGATCTCTCTTTCTCTCTCGGTCCCTCTCTCTCTCTCTCTGTCTCTCTCTCTCTCTCTCTCTCTCTCTCTATATATATATATATATATATATATCTGTATCTCTCTCCCTGCTTGCTACCCTCCTGCGCACAGGTGTATGCCACGTTTGAAGGTGGTTGCCGCACACAGAGTGGGGGATTGGGTACATTCACAGTTGAATCACTGGAGTATGGCGACTGTCAGAGTGCATGCACGTCTGACCCTACGTGCGTGGCATACGAACACAACGGGGTCGGGACAACTTGCGAGTTGCACACAGAGGCCATCACTCACGGAAAAGGACCGAACGCTAACGGTGTGGTGTGCTACGTGAAGCAGGCGCCGGGTGCAGCGCGCCCTCCACGCTTCCCGCTGTTCTCCCCTTCCATCCTCGTCATCCTCCTCTCTCCTCTTTCTTTTTCCCGTGAAAGGCGCGGGCCCAGGGTTCTCTTTTAGCTGGTGACCCCCGGTTTTGACTCGACGAGGGCCGGCGGGATTTTTCCGCGATAAATAACGAGGTCGAACAGGGCCGGCGGAATTGAATTTTGAGGACGTCTTAAGCGAAACGCGGGTTTTTGAGCTTCCGCTCGATAAATAACTAGGTAAAGTGAGATTGGTCGTTTGTTGCGGATATCTCGAGCGAAACGTTCGTTTTGCAGAATTTTTGCTGAGGACGTCTCGAGCGAAACGCTTGTTTTGGATACTTCCAGGAACCTGGACGCCCAAGGATGCCCCAGGGGGCTCTGGGAGTGCGGACGCAATGTAATTTACAAGGGATCATGGCCCTGGGAGCGCGGCCGCAACGTAATTTACGAGGCATGTCGGGCCTGGGAGCGCGGACGCAGCGTGATTTACGAGGGATCGTGATTTACGAGGGATCTTCGCCCTGGGTGCGCGAATCAGCGTAATTCACAAGGGATCGTGGCCCTGGGAGCGCGAATCCTGTGTAATTTACGAGGGACCGTTGCCCTGGGAGCGTGCATCCGTTGTAATTTACGAGGGATCTTGGCCCTGGGAGCGCGAATCCAGTGTAATTTACGATGTGTCTTGGCACTCGGAGCGCGAACTCTTTATAGTTTACGAAGGATCGTGGTCCCTTGGCGCGTCCAGTGCCACGTCCCCTGGCACGTCCGCTGGCGCGTCGCCTGGCACGTTCCCTGGCACGTTCCGTGTTGCGTCTCCCTGGCACGTCGTGCGGCGCGTCCCCTGGCACGTCCCGCGGCACGTCCCCTGGCACGTTCCGTGGCGCGTCCCCCTGGCACGCCCGGCGGTGCGCCCCCTGGCACGTCCCCTGGCGCGTCCTTTCGGACGTCTTGCGGCGCGTCCCCGTGGCGGGGTGCCCGCGTGCGGTTCCCCCACCCAGGGCAACGTTTCGTAGCACCATAGGGAGCTCCACCGTAGGCCACAGTGGGCTGCCCGCATGCGGTTCCGCCACCCAGGGCAGCGTTTCGTGGCCCCATAGGGAGCTCTACCGAGGGCCCCAGTGGGGGTGCCCGCATGCGGTTCCCCCACCCAGGGCAGCGTTTCGTGGCCCCATAGGGAGCTCCACCGAAGGCCCCAGTGGGGGTGCCCGCATGCGGTTCCCCTACCCAGGGCAGCGGTTCGTGGCCCCATAGGGAGCTCCACCGAAGGCCGCAGTGACACCGCCCGCATGCGGTTCCCCCACACATTATGTACGGCGCGCCCCTCACGCGTTTCGTGGCCCCATAGGGAGCCCCACCGAAAGCGGGACCCACAACGCGTTACGCACAATTGCTCATGGTTGGGTCCTTCGCCAGGATAATTGATGTTTTTTTTTCGGAGGATTTGCGCGCTCACGCCTCGTCGGGCTTCCGACAGCCCATGGCGACCTCAGAGCTGTCGAAGACGGCTTAAGGGGCTCCCAAGACGGCCTGAGACAGCCCAAGAGAGCCCCATTGTCACACCATGACGGCCTAAGAGGCCCCCAGAGCGGCCCCAAGAGCGCTCCAAGACGGCCCAAGATACCTCCAAGATGGCCCGAACGCGCCCCAAGAGGGCCCCGATACGGCCTACATATTACCCCAAAGCGGCTTCCGAAGGCGCACGATGGGGCAGGAACGCCGCTAAGATAGACCAAGAGGGCCGCTAGAGCCCCCCTGAGGCCCCCAAGAGGCTCAATGAGGCCTCCCAGAGGCCCCCAATAGGTCCCCAAGAGGCCAACATCATTGATTTTCGGTTGGTTTGTGGAGGATGTTCGCACTCACGCCTTGGCGAGCTTCCGACAGCCTAAGACGGCCCAAGAGCCCTCCCAGATGGCCCACGAGGCCACCCAAGACGGGCCCACGACGGCCCATGAGAGCTCCAAGACGGCTTGAGATGCCCCTAGTACTCCTAAGACGGCCCAAGGGACCTCCAAGATGGCTCGAAAGCGCCAAGAGGGCCGCAACACGGCCCACAGAGAGTCCCCCAAGACGGCCTCCGAATGCGCCAGACGGGCCACGAGGGCCCTACGACAGCCCAAGAAGCCCCCGCGAGTCCCCCGAAAGCCCCCAAGAGGCCCCAAGAGGGCCCCGAATGGCCCACACATGCGCCACAATCCTGCAAACCGCAAGGAGCACGCAGTTTTTGAGGGCTACTGTCCCGATGGCCCGCCGGGGCACGGCGGCCCCCCTGCGGGCCAGGCGCCGTGTGAGATCTCTGGAGGGCTTGGCTGCTTGGCTTGCCGGTCGATCGGCTAGTAATCTTGAGGGGCGCGCATCCCCACCAGGCCCCAGCGGCATCGGCGACGGGCGACCCGCATCTCCAGAACATCCACGGCGAGCGGTTCCCAGGGGACGCTGACGGGGGCAGGCCTGGGGGAGGGGGGACATCGACCCCCCAAGTCGCCCATGCATCGCCGGTCGGGGCTCCGGTGCCCAGCCCCGCCCAGGAACGCGCGGTCTCGCCATCGGAGGCCGATCGCCGATGTATCGGCGATATGTCTGTCCCCCCCCCGAGCCAGTGCCCCCCGCCCCTTTTCGCCGCCCCCTCAGGTTCGACCTGATGAGGCCCGGCAACGCCGTGCTGATCCAGATTCCGCGTGGAGAGCCGGTCTGCAACATGGCCCCTGCCTCCGCGTAGCCGCGGAAACGTTTCGGATGTTTTCTGAGTTGGCGGGCGGGGTGTATTCTCGGGCGGGGGCAATTAGGGCATTTTCCCCGTTGTGAAAATCATGGAAGGCCCTTGAGGGGGCGGGCACAGCCGCCCCACTTCTCTGGGAGTGCGGTCGCTTCGAGGGCGACGCTGGCGGCGCATCGCTGGCCGCTCCCTGGGAGTTCGACCCGCGTGGGGGTTGAGAGTTGCCTGGCGGTAGGTTCTGATTCGTCCTGATTGGGGGCAGGTTGGGTGCTCCGCATTGGCCTTGCGCGTGGTCGGAGGTTTTTCGGTCAGCTCTTGGAGGGTTTCGGGGGGCCTCTTGAGGGCCCCATGGGTTTGTTAGGTGGGGGTGGGGGGGCAAGTGGAGGGCTTACGGTGGTGTATTCAGGGCCTGTCGGGAGTCTGGGTGCCGTTCCGTGGCGCCGTGGCGGCATCTGGGGCAGTTAAGAGGGCCTGTAGGGGGCATGATTATTTCCCCCTTGTGGCCAGGACCGCGAACAGACTTTGGGAGGCCTGCTGGAGGAAGAGGAGGGCAGCTCAGATGCCGTGGGGCGTGAGATGAGGTCCAAGACAACCCCAGAGGGCCCATAGAACTGCCATAAACTTCCCAGGAGGGACCCCGTAGGCCTCGAAACAACCTAAACGGGTACCCAAAGGTGTCGGAAACGGCGGGCGAAACCGAAGAGGGATACGGAGGGCTGAAAGGGAGCAGTCCTTTGGGGGCTTCAGAAACGCCTCCAGGGGACCCCTGGGGACGTCGAAGACGGTTCAGTAGGGCGCCAACAGGGCAGCCAGACAGCCCAACATGGATCCAATAAGCTTTCCACGATGGCCTAGGAGGCCTCCAAGGTATCCCAAATTGGCCAGAGAGGCGCAATGAGTGTCACAAGAGGCTCCGAGCTCCAAGATAGTTCAAGAGGTGCAATTAAAAGCCCGAGCAGGCCAAACTTGTGAAACTCATTTTGTTTTTGAGGTTGTTCGTTTCTTCTTGTTTTCAGCTCAACATTGCTCGAAGAGGGCTTCACAAGGGTCTGAGACGGCCCCAGAGGGCCCCAACAATGGGCCAAACAAGCCCAAGAGGGCCCAGAGATGCCCCCAAGACAACCCAGGACGTCTTCTGGAAAGGTCCCAGGCGGCGTCCGAAGACGTCTGGAAGTCTCCCGTGCGACGGCGTGCTTGACTTCGGGTGAAAGTGGCGGCAAGCGGACGCCCAGTCCGCAGCCAGGACCCTCGGGCCGGCGGAATGAGCAGGCCACGGGAAGAACCCCAGGAGGGGTCGTTGGGGCTCTGAGGCAGGGGTAAATGCGAGGAGCGCGTAGGTGAGAGGATTGCGGGAAAGTCTTTCCTGCAGACCACGCGGTGGGATCTCACACGCCGTGCCCGGTTGGGCGGCGGATGGCATCGGTCACTCCGCCAGCCAGACGTTTTGGCATTGCTTGCATTTGGCTATCGAGTGGCTTTCGGCCCATTCCGCCACCCTGCCAGGGCCGCGGGTCAGAAGCTTCAACGGGTTGCGAAGCCTGCCGCGGTCTGACGGAGCCTCTTTGGAGGGTCAGACGGCGCTGGTGGGACTGTCGGAGTGGGAAGGGCACGAAACCTTATAAATAACTCGGTTCGCGAGTGCCTGCCGCGGTCTGGCGGGGCCTCCCTGGAGGGTCAAAAGGCACTGGCGGAGCTGGTGGAGCGGGAAGGGCACGAAATCAGATGAATAATGCGGTTCGCGAGTGCCTGCCGCCGTCTGGCGGGGCTTCCCTGGAGGGTCAAACGGCGCTGTCGGACCTAGGACTGGTGGAATGGGAAGCGCATGCATCAGGAGGAGGAGAGGAGGAGAGGATTCTTGGGGAAAGCGAGACTCCCACCCAGGATGTGGGGAAACAAAGTATGCATGCTGAGCTCTAAGACGCCTCTTGGGGATCCTCTGGGCGCCGCGTGCGGCAGTCTCGGGAAGCTCCATGGGCGCCTTGGGGTTCTGAACAGCAGTGTTTGGGGCGTTTGGGCCGTCATCGGAGTCTCCAGGCGGCGTGTTGGCGGCTTTTTTCGGGGCCGTCGTGAAGCCGTTTCGGGGCTTCCCGAGGCCGTCGGAGCACCGTCTTGGCGCCACGCGAGGAAGCTCCGAGGAATCATCCGGACCCAGGACGGCCCGCTACAGGAGCTGGGCTAGCGAGAAGGCGCAGGGTCAGAGGAGGACATGGCGGGGATACGCGGGCCAAGTGTCCGGTCCACCCGTCGGATACATCTCGATATATCCGTAAGGGCCTCGCCCTCTGCCGCTAGGCTGGCCACCCCCCTCTATCATAACGGGACTTGTCAGAGCTACATCGGTATGTCTGGGCGCCGTCTTGAAGACATGTGGGAACATCTTGCGAGGACGGATAGCAATCAGCAAAACGTAGTGAGATGGTGGAGTTCTTTGTCAGAGCATCTTCCTCGCGTTCTGCTTTGGAAGTCCTCTTGGAACGAGGGGGGGGGGCTTGAGGCCATCTCGGGTCACATCGCGCGGTTGGGGCTGTCTTTTGGTTCCTTGCATCTGTGTCCATTTTCACGGATGCGTGGCTGCGGGTCCACCGCCGAATTTTCAAGAAATGCGGGGGGCTGAACAGCGCCCCCCGAGCACGCATCCCAATACAGAAGCCTGCTGTTTTTCTGCTCTGGAGAGGGGGTGGCGCTTTTGGGCAGCCTCCGCGGGGTGAGCTCGTAGCCTCGGGGGCGCAAGTTCGTTGCAATTTACGAGGGATTGTGGCTTCGGCGGCGCGAATGTGACGCGATTTACAAGGGGATGTGGCCTGGGGGCGCGAATTTGTCGAAATTTACAAAGGCGTTTTGGTTTCGGAAACGCGAACCTGTTGTGATTTACGAAGGGGTGGTGGCCTCGGGAGCGCCACCCTGTCGTACTTTACGAGGGAGTGTGGCCTCGGGAGCGCGAAGGCGTCGCGATTTACGACGGATCCGGGCATCGGGAGCACGAGCGTAACGTACTTTACGGGGGATTGGCGCCTCGGGGGCGCGAATCTGGGGTAATTTGCACAATGGTGTGGTTTCGGGAGCGTGCAAGTGATGTAATTTACGAAGCATTGTGTCGTCGGGAGCGCGAATCGGTTGTTATTTACGAGGGACTGGCCTTGGGGGCGCGAGTGCGATGTAACTTTCAGTGGGTTGTGGCTTCGGAAGCGTGAAGCTCGCGGCGCGAGCGAGTTGTAATTTACAGGGGGTTGTGGCTCCAGTGGCCCGAATCTGCTGTAACTTACCAGTGCCTCTGGCCTCGGGGGCGCGACTGTGGCGTAATCTACGAGGGGGTCCGACCTCGGTGGCGCGAGCCTGTAGAAGTGTTCGAGGGGCTGTGGCCTCGGGAGGGCGAATCCGCTGTAATTTACGAGGGAGGGTGGCATTGGGGTCGCGAATCCGAGGTAATTTAATGGGGAATGTGGCCTCATGAGCGCGAATCCGTTGCAATTTGCAAGGGATCGTGGCGTCGGGGGCGCGAATGCGATGTAATTCACGAGGGATCGCCCTTGGAGGCGCGAGCCTCGTGTTATTTTCAGGTGTCCCAGGGCTTCCAGAAATCCAGAGTACGCAATTCAGGGAAGGGGCCCAGGGTGGTTTTCGCCCCCCTCGCGCAGACAGTGACAACTTACTTACAGTAGGAAGCAGAAACTACAACTATAACATTAGAGACTGGAAGCTGGAACTGGTGCAGGGCGCCAGAAAGCCTCAGCCGCGCAGCCTGTTGGTCCCCAAGGTGGCCAGCGGATTTTCTTCCTGCTGCACCCTCTCGCTGTTTCACACGGCATAGGCCCCCCTTGCCCCCAGCTTCGCTCGCGCGCCAGGGGCCGGCCTCATGAGCCCTCAGAGTGGGAGCCACGGCGGCCCCCCCCCTTGAGAAACGAGCCCGCAAATGTGACATTTTGACATGTCGCGGGCCCGTCACGGGGAGGACCAGGGAGAGGGGATGAGAGGAATGAGGAGGAAGAGGAGGAAGAGGAGGAGGAGGAAGAGGAGTAGGAGGAGGAGGAGGAGGAGGAGAGGAGGAGGAGGAGGAGGAGAGGAGGAGGAAGAGGAGGAGGAGGGAGGAGGAGGAGGAGGGAGGAGGAGGAGGAGGAGGGAGGAGGAGGGAGGAGGAGGAGGAGGAGGAGGAGGAGGAGGAGGAGGAGGAGGAGGAGGAGGCGGCCTCTGGGGCTCCCGGGGGTCTCTTGGGGACCTCTCGTGGGCATTTTGGGGGGTTGTTGGGGGCCTCATCGGGCCTATCGGGGCCGTCCTGGGCTGTCTCAGGGCGCTGTTGGGCCGTCGGACGCCTTCGGAGGCAGTCTTGGGCCACGGCGACCTCTCCAGGCCGTCTTGGGGCCTTACTCGGGCACCGCAGAGCCGTCTTTGAGGTCTCTTGGGCCGTACTGGAGCTTTCTGGGGCCCTTTTGAGGCCCTCTCTGAAGCCTCCTGGGCTGTCTCGCGGCCTTTATAGGGGCATCTCGGCCCGCCTTGGGCTGTGAGAAGCCAGAACGGGAGAGAGGGCCGGGATCCTTGAAAGCATATCAGATATAATCAATGGGTGTTTCTTCTGCAGGCTGTCGTGGAGAGTCTCTTGGAGCCATCTTGGGCGGTCTTGGGGGCCTCGTGGGCCGCGTTGGGGCGATCTTGGGCCCTCTTGAGCCCATTATGGGGCGTCGTGGGCCCATCTTCGGCCACGTTGTGCCATTTGAGGCCCTCTTGGGCCATATTTAGGCCATATTTGCCTGTCTTGAGGCCAAGTTGGGCGATCTCGGGCCCTCTTGAGGCCCCAGAGGCTTGGGAATCCCAGTTCCTGGGCTGAGGTGGTTCCCCAAGAGCTTGCTTTTGGTGGTGGGGATGCGCGAATTCTTTCCCTCTTTCCTATCTATCTAGCCGCCCCTCCTCTTCACACCCTCCAGACTTTCTACACGGCCAAGGCCGCACTTGGGCGGATGTTTCGTTCCAATGCCCGCCAGGGGCCCGCCGTATCGACGTTTCGTCGCGTATACCCACCATCATAGCGAAAAAACGATGCCCAGGCGTGTTGTCGGGAGACGGGAAACACATAATCATATATAGAGAAGCAAGAGACCCACAATGATGAACTGAAAGACTTTGGGGCGCGCCTCGGGGCCATCTTTGCGTCTTGTCGTCTGCTCGATTGTATCCAGCTGCCTGCGGCAAGTCCCGCCACCGTGCCAGCCCAGCTTCTTTACCGTGGCAGCTGCTCGAAACGATGATGATGGTGATGACGGTGAGATGATGACGAGGAGGATGAGGAGAGGATGACCAGGAGGAGGAGGAGGAGGAGGAGGAGGAGGGTGGCGGACGAGGGGGTTGAATCACACGACAGCTCGCCGCTTGGGCCCCACCGCCAGCCCGAACGGCGAGCATAAATCGGGCGTAGCCCCGCCCGCATGTGGATGTCCAGCCAATCTGGGCGGCGTCGGTCTGCTCGCCATAGGTTGCGCCCTCGGCGCCGAGAATAAGACTGTCTCCTAATGGTTACGACATAGGTTGCGCCCTCGGCCGCCGAACATAATGTTGTTTCTACTGTTGGGTGCGCCATAGGTTGCGCCCTCGGCCGCTGAGAATCAGACTGTCTCCAATCGGTTGCGCCACAGGTTGCGCCCTCGGCCGCCAAGAATAAGACTGTCTCCTATTGGTTGCGCCATAGGTTGCGCCTTCGGCCGCTGAGAATAAGACTGCCTTCTATTGGTTGCGCCATAGGTTGCCCCCTGGGCCGCCGAGACTAAAACTGTCTCCTCTGGGTTGCGCCATAGGTTGCGCCCTCGTCCGCCGAGAATAAGACTGTCTCCAATTGGTTGCGCCACAGGTTGCGCCCTCGGCGCCGAGAATAAGACTGTCTCCTATTTGTTGCGCCATAGGTTGCGCCCTCGACCGGCGAGAATAAGACTGTCTCCTATTGGTTGCGCCATAGGTTGCGCTCTCGGCCGCCGAAAATAAAACGGTCGCGTAACGGGTGCGACCAGTCAGTCCAGTCCAGTTCAGTCCAGCCCAGTCCAGTCCAGTCCAGATTCACTTCGCGAAAAACCAAATCGGGCTATGCCCGAAATTATCTTGAGGCCCTCTTGGGCCGTCGTGGGGCTATTTTGGAGACCTCTTGCGCAGCCTTGAGCTGACGGACGCTGGAAAAGTCGATAATGGGAACATGGTTCCAACAAGCCCAAGGGAACCCTGTGGTTTTGGCATCTTCGGGCCCTGTTGGAGGTTACGTTCGAGCCCTGTTGGGCCGTCTTGAGAGCATCTTGTGAGGTCCCGAGGTGATCTTGAGCAGTCTTGGGGCCATCAGAGGCCGTGATGGAGGCATCTTGAACCATCTTGGCGGCTGGCCTGGGCCGTCTTGGGAGCCGTCTCAGGCAACTTGGACGGACGCCTTGGAGAGCGCCAGGGAGACGTCGGGCAGCCCAGTGAGCCTCAGGAGGGGGGGGGGGGCGGTGCCCGCCGCCGAGTGCGATCGAGGGGCCCCCCACTGGAAGGTTACAGAAACCCTGCCGGGCAGCATCTGGCTTTCTACCGCGCCGCAACGTGCCATGGGGGCATCGTGGCGGATGTCAGAAGAAAGTTGCTTATGGTGTCTGTGAGCCCCCGTTTTCGGCGGCGTGTAACTTTCGCACCCTCAGGACAGCCCTTCGAGAAGTCATGGCTCACCGTGGAGGCGGACGCGCGTCGTCTGGGTTCGCAATGCGCGGACATGTACTTCCAATCTCTGAACATCACGGGTAAGGGCAGCCCAAACCGCAGCGACAGCGAGATTCGGCCCCCTCCCCTCCCCCTGCTGCTGTGCCCACACTAGTGGAACGCTGTCGTGGCCACAGCGCCGTCGCCCAGCGCACGCCGACTGCGATGGGTCGAGAAGGCAGTGCCCCCCCGCCTTTCCGCCCCATCATCTCTCCCATCGTCCCGTCTTCCGCCCACCTGAGCAGCGAGGAGGTGGCCGGCCCGAGGGCCGAGCTGCCCTTCTGTTGCAGCACCTTGTCCCACTGCTCTTCTTGACCCCTCGACCCCCTTCCCCCTTCACTCCAAAATGGGGGGTACAGTCAGCACCAGCGTGGTTCGGGCTGCCCCTGACAGGGGCTTGGGCGGACAAGGTGCGGGCCGGCGGCCTCACCTTCACTGCTGGGGGGTCGCGCGACGAGACGCTCCAGGCCGCCCAGGGCTGGACGAGGTTCGGCCCGCTGAAGCTGAAGGTCGTGCACGGCAGTACGAGCCAGGCCCTGGGCGGAATCAGGGTTGGGGGCCGCTGCTTTTGGCTTCATTCGTTTCACCGATCTGCGCGAGGTCCCGCGCCCCTCACTCCCCCCAAAGTTAGCTCTGCGCTGATTTTGGCGAGTGTTCTCAATCAGGTGGGCGCCTCAGGGCCTGTCTTGGACCCTTCATGGTTATCTCTAGGGCCATATCTGGATTATTTTGAGGCGTCTGAGGCCCATCGAAAGCGAGAGAGCGACAAGGCAAACAACATTCTCAAACGAAGCGCTTGTGAAGGATTTGGAGGGATCCTTGGGAGCGAACGCAACTGGGACCGTCTGGTGGCCCTCTTGGGGCCTCTGGGGGGCTCTGAACCATTTTCGGCGATCGTGAGCTTGAGCCATATTGGAGCCCCTCTTGGGGCCACCATGTTGTGGAGGGGGCACAATCCGGGAATCGAGCATATACACCACCGGGCCGTGAAGGTGTCCGTGGCGGGGTGGGGGGGGCTGGGTAAGTATCGCGCCGGTGGAGCCGAATCTCGGCCACAGGCCCCTCTTGCTCCTCTTGCTGTTGCTCCGCCTCGTCCTCAAAGCAAGATAAGGCAGCCTCAGTCCCACCAGGTCTGGGGTCCAAAGGTGTCGGCGCTGGGAGTGGTTGTTTCCCGTCCTGAGAGCAAGAGAACGACCCCTCCCCAGTCCAGCAACGCCCGCGGCAGTGCGGGCGCGGGCACCCGCGATTGAAGACCCCCGACTGCCTCCGTGGGCCCCCGAGAGTGGATTGAACGATCCACGCGGTGACAAGCGGCACCATAGGCCACACCGTTATGGCGGGAACCCGTCGTAGTTCCCCTCCTCCTACCAAGGGCATCGCGTACTTGAACTTCTACGTCAAGCACATGAGAGAGGCGGGTGCTGCTGTCGGAGGTCTGCTCGGTGAAGACGACTACACGGAGGCGGCGACGCCCGAAGAGGGGTGCCTGAAGTCGATGTCACTGGAGAAGAAGGCGATTTCGAACAGTGACGTCGGGCGTACCGAGGCGATCGCTAGCCTAGCGTAGGATCAGCTGACGCGTCTCTTCTGCGGACACCGTCGGTAGCGCACGACCATGGTCCGTGGGTGTATTCCGTCGACGACTATGAGTTTACTTCTTGGGGCCGTGCGGACGGGCAGCACGAGCTGCCCACGTCATGCACAAATCTGCCTAGCAGGTGCAAGCCCGTTCTTCTTCACCTTACAGTTTGACTTTGCGCGATATCGCGCGTCCTGCGTTTGCCAACAAGTCATCACCCTCATCGAGATCACCTTCGGCACACGTCATCTGAATTGGGTCGTCCTCACCATCCTTCTTTATCATTCGTTCCCTCCCGTCCCCCTCCCCCTCTCCCCTCGTTCCCTCCACCATTACTCAATATTTATACTACTCTCCCTACTCCCCTGATGGCGTCCAGAAGATGACCGGCACCCCTCCGCGTATTGTTTTTTTACACAGGATTCCCGGGAAACCGCATCTCATGGTGTGCTTTTGAACATCGCACGTTTCGCGTACTGCTTTTTTACGCACAGGATTCCCGGGAAACCCGTTTTCATATGTGTTTTTGACAATCCGATTGTTTTCGGCCGTTCCGAGGGGGCGCCCTCGCCTCGGCGCCCGCCGCACTTGGGCCCCCTCTACCATTACTCAATATGAATACTAGTCTCCCTACTCCGCTGATGGCGTCCAGAAGATGACCGGCACCCCTCCGCGTACTGTTTTTTACACAGGATTCCCGGGAAACGGCATTTCATGGTGTGTTTCTGAACATCGCACGTTTCGCGTATGTTTTTTTCCACAGGATTCTAATGATTCCTGGGCCCCAAGGTCCTAGGCCCCAGGGCGGTGGAGGTGCAGCGCCGCGTGCGGGAACCTGCGAACGTGCACTCTCTTTGGGCCCCTCGTCGTCGTCGTCGTCGTCGTCGTCGTCGTCGTCGTCGTCGTCGTCGTCGTCGTCGTCGTCGTCGTCGTCGTCCTCTTTCTCGTAGGTACGAGGGTTTGACGCAACACCCGATTCGGTGAGAGGACAATGAAGTAGCGCAATGGGAAGGGATGGCAGGGAGGGGTACGATGTCAGATTTTGACGCGAGCGCACCTAGCTTGCCAACACCTCCCTCTCTCCTCTCCCTCTCCCCCTCCCTTTCCCTCGCTCCCTCCCCTTCCCCCCTCCCCTGCTCCCGCGTTCCCTCTTCGACAACTATTCTATAAGGACTTACTCTTCTCTCACCCCCAAGTATGCCTGGAAGTTATCCGGCTCTCTCCGCGTATTTTTTACACAAGGTTTCATAAGGCGATATTTCCTATGTGTTTTTCCACTCGGAACGTTTTCGGGCGTTCCGAGGGAGCGCTCTCGCCTCGGCGCCCGCCGCATTCGTGGCCCCTCTGGAATTACTCTGTACGAATATCGGTCTCTCCTCTCGCCCGCTCTGTATGAAGACCGAACTCTGCCGCAGCACCTCCGCAGCAGAGTCCATCAAGTCCCCTGGACAAGAGCCCACGGTCTGAACCGAGAGTCCATCAAGCCCCTTGGACAGGGGTCCAGGGTCTGAACCGAGAGTCCATCAGATCCCTTGACCAGGGGCCCACGCTCTGAACCGAGAGTCAATCAGATCTCTTGGGCATGAGCCCACACTCTGAACCGAAAGTCCGTCAAATCCCTTGGACAGGGCCCACGGTCTGAACCAAGAGTCCATCAGATCCCTTGAACAGGGGACCACACTCCGAACCGAGACTCCATCAGATCCCTTGGACAGGAGCCCACGGTCTGAACCGAGAGCCCATCAGATCCCTTGGGCAGGAGTCCACGGTCTGAACCGAGAGTCCATCAAATCCCTTGGACAGGGGCCCACGGTCTGAACCGAGAGTCCATCAAAGCCCTTGGACAGGGGCCCACGGTCTGAACCAAGAGTCCATCAGATCCCTTGGACAGGGGCCCACGGTCTGAACCGAGAGTCCACCAGATCCCTTGGGCAGGGGCCCGCATTCTGAACCGAGAGTCCATCAGATCTTTTGGACAACAGCCCACGGTCCGCCCCGAGAGTCCATTAGATCCCTTGGGCAGGGGCCCGCGGTCTGAAGCGAGGGTCCATCAGATCCCTCGAACAGGGGCCCACGGTCTAAACCGAGAGTCCATCAATCCCCTCGGACGGGCCCAGACTCTGAACGGAGAGTCCATCAAATCCCTTGGGCAGGAGCCCGCGGTCTGAACCAAGAGTCCAGAAGATCTCTTGGGGCCCGCACTCTGAACCGAGAGTCCATCAGATCCCTTGGGCAGGAGCCTACGGTCTGAACCAAGAGTCCACCAAATCCCTTGTACATGGGCCCACGGTCTGAACCGCGAGTCCATCAAATCCCTTGAACAGGGGCCCGCACTCTGAACCGAGAGCCCATCAGATCCCTTGGACAGGAGCCCACGGTCTAAACCGAGAGCCCATCAGACCCCTTGGGCAGGGGCCTTACGGTCTGGACTGAGAGTCCATCAGATCCCTTGAACAGGGGCCCACGGTCTGAACCGCGAGTCCATCAAATCCCTTGGACAGATCCCCTGAACAGGGGCCCGCGGTCTGAACCGAGAGCTCATCAGATCCCTTGGGCAGGAGCCAGCGGTCTGAACCGAGAGTCCATTCAATCCCTTGGACAGGGGCCCACGGTCCGAATCGAGAGTCCATCAGGTTTCTCTGACATGGGCACACGGTCTGAACCGATAATCCATCATACCCAAAGACAGGAACCCACGGCCTGAACCGAGAGCCCATCAAAGCCCTTGGCCAGGGGCCCACGGTCTGAACCGAGAGGCCATCAGATCCCTTGAACAGGGGCCCGCGCTCTGAACCGAGAGTCTGTCAGACCATTGGACAGGAGCCCATGGTGTGAACCGAGAGTCCATCAAATTCCTTGGACATAGGCCCACGGTCTGAACCAAGAGTCCACCAGATCCCTTGGACAGGGGCCCACACTCTGAACCGAGAGTCCATGAGGTCCATTGGAGAGGATCCCACGGTCTGAACCGAGACCCCATGGAAACGCGTTTGGACAGGGGCCCACGGTCAATACCGAGAGCCCATAAGATCCCTTGAACAGGGGCCCACATTCTGAACCGAGTCCATCAGATCCCTTGGACCGGAGCACACGGTCTGAACCGAGCGCCCATCAAATCCCTTGGATAGGGGCCCACAGTTTGAACCGAGAGTCCATCAGATCACTTGGAAAGAGGCCCACACTCTGAACCAAGATTCCATCAAATCCCTTGGACCGGATCCCACGGTCTGAACCGAGGGTCCATCAGATCCCTTGGGCAGGGGTCCACGTTCTGAACCGAGAGCCCATCGGGTCCCTGGAACTGGAGCCCACGGTCTGAATGGAGAGTCAATCAAATCCTTTTGGGAAGAAGGAGCCCACGGTCTGAACCGATATTCCATAAAATCCCTTGGACACGGGCCCACGGTCTGACCCGAGAGTCCATCGAATACCTTGAACAGGGGCCCGTGCTCTGAACTGAGAGTCTATCAGACTTTTCGGACAGGGGCCCACGGTCTGAACCGAGAGTCCATCAAATCCCTCGGACAGGAGCCCACTGTCTGAACAGAGAGTCCATCAGACCCCTTGAACAGGGGCCCACACTCTGAGTCGAGGATCCATCAGATCCCCTGGGCAGGGGCCCACGGTCTGAACCGAGAGTCCGTCGAATCCTTTTGACAGGGGCCCGCGGTGACGCTGTGCCGTTGTCTCTGGCGCGCTCCCGCTGCCTGTGGCGCGTGTGCGCGGATGGTGTTGTTGTGCTCCGCCTGCGGTCACCGTCGCCGGAAGGGCGGGGCGTGCAAGAGCGCGGAGTGTTCCCAATTCCGCCCAGGGGTTCCCAGGGGCACGCACTGGAAGTGGTAGCGGCTGAGGAGGGCGCTCGGCGACTCCAGCGTGGCGGAGTGCTTCGGTGACTTTATCCAGGGCGGGTTCGCCGCTGCATTGTCACGTCGGCACGACGTGCGCGTGGGCATTGCCTTTGGCATGTTCTTGCGCGAACGCGGCTTCGCCGACGTCTCCTTGCGCGTGGAGGTGCTGTGCTTGCCGTTCCCGTGTTCTTGGAAGTGGGCGGCGGCGTCCATCCTCAGAAGAGTGGGGAGTCACTTGGAATTTCTGCAGGCCTCCAACGACGAGGACCGCGCAGACTGTGCGAGCGGCCGTGGGGGGAGGCGACGCGGGAAGTGCGCCCCAGGGAGGTCTCCGTCGTTTGTAATCGCGCCCGGCGGACTGCGCAGCTTTATTCCAAGGCGAAGGTGCGCTCCCTCGGCGGTGGTCGGGCCGATTTTTTCGTGCCACGCCATCATGAACCCCGCCAACAGGACCCCCGGCCGGCATGAGTTCGGAATCCTCATGAAAGGTCTTCGATCTGGCCGTCTCAAGGAAGCCACCGACAAACTCGCGGACATCTTCGCTGCCCCTGGCGCGAAGTACAAGGATTGCGAGAAAGCGCTGCGTTCGGTGAAACCTTGGCAGGGTGCGCGATATTCCCGCACGAGGTTCCTTCGTTGGCTTTTCAAGGCGGAGGGCATCGCAGTGGAGCCGTCCCCGGACGATTGGGAAGTGCTGACCAGCATGGGGTCCGGCGTCGAGAAAGGGTTGGCGGCGGCCGAGAATCTCAAGCAGGGCGCGCTCGAAGCGTGCCGCATTGTTTCCGACGAGCTCTGGCCTGATTCGGGCGTCGTGTGTGGACTGGATGACCTCGTGTGTCTGCTGTGCCTGTCGCAGAGCAAAGAGGCGGTGCGGACCTGTCGCCTCCCAGGGCCGGCGGCGCCTGTGACCGTGGCCGGTGACTTAGGAGAACTTGTTCTATGTGCATCTCCGCGAGGGCAGGGATCGCGTAAAAGGTTCTCGCAGAAGACGTCGGGCACGTCGCAGGCTGCCTCTGGCGCCGCCTCCTCGGCAGCAGCTCCTCCAAAGCTGGGCCGCCAATTTCGTGCCAAATGGGCCGCCAATTTGGCCCTCCTCCGTCGTCGGCCGCGTTGCGCGGCCGATTTCATGCCGCGGTCCAGCCCGCTGCCACCGATCATTTCGCAGCTGCCTCTGGTGATCCTGCTGGAGTTGTTGCCGCTTCATGATCAGGCGAGGGTTTGTCGGACTTCGCGAATGTCACGCGACAGTTTCCTGTGTCACGTGCGGCTATGGGGCCCCGGCTGCGGGCAGAGAGCCCGCCAAGATGCCGTGATCTTGGGGGCGGGCAGGGCGGGGCCGACGCACGAGGCCCTCGCTGAAGCTGGCGTGAACACTGGCGACGCGTTCCACGTTCTCGGGGCGATGTGGCGCTTGGTGGACTCTCTTCTCAAAGAGCCCCTCCCTGCTGAGGTGCCCCTGGTGGCTCTGGCTGTTGCG